ACCCCGCCCCATTCACACCTTACACACGCACCAACACACACACACACATACACACACACACGGGCCTCTCCATTCGCTTATATTATTAACAAATCTCGAGAATGGAAACCGTTTGGAGAAATAGAGTTCAATTTTATTTTCCTGAACAATCGGAGAATTTTAAAAAGTAACCTGGAAATCAGACACACATCACTGTCCTAATTCTAACTCTTCTAGTTAAAGACTGTTTTTAGACCAGGAATATAGTCTGCAGACAAGGCTAGATCTAGATCTAGATCAGATTTCTATTTAGATCAAACTGAAGACTAGAATAGGAATAATCATCATGCCTTTCATGCCATAGCCCATGGTTTCATACTCCAAATCCACTGCTAGAATTCTAGAGTCTAGATCTAGATATCTTAGATCTAGATCTAAATCTAATCTAGATATCTAGATCTAATCTAGATTTTAGATATCTAGATCTAGATCTAGATCTAAATCTAATCTAGATATCTAGACCTAGATTTTAGATTTAGGCCTTCTACTTCTGTCAGAATTTGTCATTTTGAAAAGTCAGTGTCAATAAACTCAATAGTACACGTCAAATACCAATTCCACGGTTTTTATACATCACATCACCGTGGCAACAAACTGTTGTTCTCAAAGGATGCTCACCGTGGATTTCAGAGAGACCAGTACGGTCCCAGGGGTGTCTCTAGATCTACAGTCGATCGTTCTGACAAGTCTAACTTAGATCTACTCTAGGCTAACCCACACGCACCCTAAACAGTCACACGGCACGGTAACTGCCGCTTGGCTGCATTAGATCTATCCTATCAAGATCCACAAAAGCCTCGATAAAATCATTATTTCAGAGACAGGTTGGATACACTTGAAACCTCACCCTAAACATCCTTCACTTGAGAAAAAACAGTAAAAACTGTAACCCTTTTCGGTGAATGGCCATCAAATCTACCTCAACAAAACTACGACGCCATTGAACCACCAACAACGTGAACGACCAGCCATGATACTAAAAATAGATTTTACTCCAGTGTAGACGTAACAATCGCAGAGCTCAGACCACAGGTTTGCCATTGTTATTTGACCTCTTTGAGACCAGAATTCACAGTTTCTGCAAACTCAATCCATGAAAATAATTTACAAACATACTTAAAAGTGAGTAAATTGACGATAGAGAAGAAAATAAACACGTATTTACCTCAGTTACTGTTACATTTCCTCTATTTCTCTGACCATCATTTCTGTCCTCATTGGCTGTCGCTGGAATCCGGTGCAGCTAAAAAAGGTGAATGAGAGAAAGACCCAGGAATTGAGCCTTGTTCATTGGTGGAGACTAGATTGTGACCGACCTTGCAGACACTTGTTTGCGAATTTCATTGGTCTACAGGGTAAGGACGGAAGATTCGTGATGTTTTATTCATGACCTATGTCGCGTCATTAAATAGATTCACCGTATATTACTATTCTGCTTCTCTGTCGCTCTTTCTGCGTTCGACAAAGTAATGCATCATTCTCTAAACAGTTAGTTTCACAAGTATAGTACATAAGTACCAACATACAAAGGAAAATACTGCATTAGTAAAAATCTGTAGTAGCAGCCGTCTTCTTGCACTCAGGATATTAATACGCCTTCCAACCAATCGCTGCTCTGAAAATGTGGGTCATCCATTCTGCCACACTCTCTGTGATGGATTTTCGCAAAATGTGTGTGCAGTTACTATGAAGCTTTACTACCACGCGTAGTAAAGCTCGCTCCGGGCCACACAGCCGACGTAACGTCCGAGGTGCTCGGGGTTCGAGAAAGAATGAGATCAGCATAATATTTTTTGCTCTTGTCATTGCGTTGAAAGTTTTACGATTTTATTTTTGTGGTAGGCTCTCAACAATTCAGTAATGAACACATTCCAAAATGGGAATTGGAAAAAAAATTATGATAAAGATATTTACACACAAGTAATGCAAAGTCAACACTTTTTTTTATGCGATCAAGAATCAATACCACGACAAGGCGCTACTTTCGATTTCGCAGATCAGATCAAAAATTGCGATTGACGGATCCTTCTTTTTCGTTGAATAATTTGTAAGTCTGTGACGAAGTGAATGCGATGTACACATGATTGCAATGCTTTAGGTTCAGCTGGCATCTGAGACTTCCCTTTTAAAAACTCTGTTGATCTCTGGGAAAGATAGAAGGGGGTTGTCTTTGACCTGTCTGTTGAGAGTTGGGGGGCGACGATATTGTTCTTTTGTAGGTGTGGTTTATCCTCACTGACACAAGTTAGCAGATCACTTAGGAGGCGGGCTGCTTCGACACAGTTTGTCAGGTTCAAGATGGGATGAGAAGAGATATATTATGATATAAAATCTAGATCTAGTGGTGTTGGTAGCCTTGTGGTCAGGCTACCGGACTCGTAATCGTGAGATTGCGGGCTCGGGGGTTCGAGCCTCAGCTCGGTCCGACGTTGTGTCCTTAGGAAAGACACTTTACACGAACTTCCCACTCGGCTCGGTCCTTTCGGAGATGGCATGGACGTTAAACTCGGAGGTCCCGCCTCTTAAATAACATAACAGTAACAGTATAGATAGGGTCGTTAAACCTATACCATTTCACCATTTGAGATGAGATACACAAAACATCACCTCGAATTTTGAGAACCGAACTCAAGTCTTTTGTGCGCAACGGCGAAGAAGGTTAGCATTAAAATGTATAGACAGAGAGATAGATAGACGAGTGCATGTACAGACAGACTGACAGACAGACAGATGCATAGATAGGTAGATACACAGACAGACAGACAGACAGACAGACAGACAGACAGACTGACAGACAGACAGACTGACAGACAGACAGATGCATAGATAGGTAGATACACAGACAGACACACAGACAGACAGACTGACAGACAGACAGATGCATAGATAGGTAGATACACAGACAGACAGACAGACAGACAGACAGACAGACAGACAGACAGACAGAAAGAGAGAAAGAGACAGAGAGCAAGCAAGCGAACGAACAAGAGAGAGAGAGAGACAGAGGGTAGAGAGAGAGAGAAAGAGAGAGAGAGAGAGAGAGAGAGAGAGAGAGAGAGAGAGAGGCAAGACTTAGAAAGACCTACATTTATATTAAGATACAACAGTTCCCAAACAGGAAACAATTCTCATGTTATCCCATTTGTGGACCTCTGTTTAGCCCGAGGGCGCTAATTGTTCACACATTGGTATATTCCTGACGGAACCAGTACATGTCACAGGAAGATATATGTCGGTATCTATAAATGTATACAAATATATATATATACGTACACACACACACACACACACACACA